CTATTTGTGTACCTTTTAACAACGCATGTGATTTTCAAGCACAATCTTGTTATGTTATGATCCAGGTTGCGTTCGGCTGGATTTGATTATTTTGATATTGTTTACGGGTGTTCAAATTAGGCTATTTTGCTTTCTAATTTATCTGAGATTAGCAACCTGCAATATCTGTTGATATTGCACTGGATGGCTAACAATGATGATATTGAACAAGTTCTGAGCCACAGTCATAATTCGCATATACATATGACTGATTTATTTAACAACTTATTGCTGGTCTACCATGCCCTGCAGTAGCTGTAGACTTTGTCCTCTACGGCCGTTGTCTTGTAAGTGTTAGTTTTTTTTCTATATAATACATTTTACTTCAATCATATGTTAATTAAAATTCTTGTTTCACGTTTATTTCTTTTACTTCAATTATATGGTAATTAGCATTATTGTTTCACGTTTATTTCTTTTTCTGGTTCTATCATGCTTTGCTCAAAAAATTTGTTCATCTTAAACAATACCTTTAGGCTCCAATATAACCACTTGGTATGGAGAAAAATTGAAAATTCATGCTTACTATTCATGCTTCTAAACTATCAACAAATTAGACAAATTAGACGTCTTTATGATATTAGTTCTCTATCATAATATTATTGATCTCTGTGTTATCATCTATTTTATGCGTCAGGTGCTCCAAGAGAGAGGAGAGAGCACATCATACCATGATCATGCTACCTGGTCGAGTGGTGAAGACCTCAAATGGCATGAAGGTCTAGAGATACCTTTAAGGATACCACTTCCAAAAGTTATATCGGTCTTGTATAGATGCTCATAGCTAATTTAGAAACTTTGTATGCAGATAAAATCTCGTATAAAGGATTGTAACAATTCATAATATTACAAGTTTTTATAGGTTTCAGATTGTTACATACATATTTATGGCTATTTGCTATGTTATATACATATTTATGGCTATTCAGGTTGTTTATATGTTTTTATAGGTTTCAGCAGTTTTTTAGGATAATTCATGCAACTTAACTACATAAATTTATGAATAATCAGGTTAGTACAGGATTCATGTGATTTTTTCAATCTGAAACATGTATATTTCAAGTCAAATCAAGTACGTAATACATAGCAATTGATTCTTGTTAATTTCAGGTTTCGTATGATTTCATTAATACAAACAGAAATTTATAATTCATTTGGGATATTATTATTTGTTCATATTATATTCGAACTTTTATGTGATTAAGATTACATCATATAACGAGCACAAATGTTATTATATAATATAGTGAGGGTAATCTTACCATGGTGACCATAAACACTTTTCACTAGAAACTTCAAAACCAACCAAACACAAGAAAAGTAGGAAATGTCATATCAACAAAAGTTTTTCTTTTATTTTCATGCGAACCAAACACAAAAAAAAAATACATTAGTGTTAGACCCTAGAGGGGGGTGATTAGGGTCTTATGCTAATCTAACCCGATTATATGCCAATTAAAATTAATTAACAAGATATCCTAGCAAGTATGAAATACAACAATATATATAAACTAGGATAAGCAATATGAACAACAAGATATATCCTAATCAAAAAGATATAGGCAATGTATGTGCAAGGATATATAAACTAACACAAAGGTGATATAATTAAACTACAAATGTGATATATAAACTAACACAAAGGTGATATAATTAAACTACAAATGTGATAGTGCAAAATAAACAATGCAAACACACAATATGATCACGGAGTTCGGACCTTCCGTCCTACGTCTCCGCTCCCCACTCTCAGGGAGAAATCCACTATCACAACCGGGTTTTCTACGTTCACCCGAATAACGTTTACACCTCACTCTCGGTTTTTTAGCTAACCGAAAACTTTACAATCACCACTCTTGCAATCCCACTCTACACCCTCTCAAGTGTTGAACTAGACGTGTCTCCCTCAAGTGCTCGGTTACAACCTCTCCCTAGGTTCGTCAACCGACGCCACTCCTCTTGGGACGATCCCCGACTCTCGCCACACACTTCTCTCGGTGTACAAGTGTATTACAAAGTGAATCTCACAATAAGGCTCAATACAATAAATGTTTGTTCTCTACTATGGATGAGAACACAATGAAAGCTCACACTCAATTGTTATAACTCTCACCAACCCAAAATATATTATGAATGTAAATACAATTAGCTCAAGTGGGTGTGTGTAACAATGAGATAAAATCAAATCTAACTCAAATAGCAAACTAGCAATAATAAGAATATAAAAATCAATAATAAAATTGCTAGAGAAAAGAGTTAGAAAACTTCTCAATAGATCAAGAGGTAGAAGGAGAATAGTTGGATGCCCAAAAACCAATAGATGATCTCCTCAAGCTCTTGTGAAATTGATTTCTCAAACTCAAACTTCCAAATGCTTAAAAGCTTCTTAAACACACTTAAACCAAAACTAAAACCCTTGTTAAAACTCTTTTAAACTTGGTTAAAAACTCTCTTAGATGATAGAAAATAGTTATGGCAAAGGGGTATATATAGGCTTGAAGAAACCAACCCCAAAAACCCCAAAAAAACCATTAAAAAACACAAATCAGCAACTAGTCGTTACTGTGTAACGGTCAGCTGCTACAGTAACTTCGGTCTTGAGAGAAATAAATGTTTGAACACAGATATACAGTTTCTGAAAATCTGCTGACATACATGATTTTGTAAAATCAATTGGGCACAGTAAATTAACTCCAAAAATAGTAAAATTTTGAGGAAAGTTTCTAAACATGTAGATAAACATGTCAAAGAAAGAATTTCTTAAATACCACTTCCCATTTATGAAAACTCATCTGTTTTGTAAAACATGCACGAACATGTGCACGAACAAAAACATGATTTTGTAAATTCCATTAAACATAACAAATCAATTCCAAACTTGATGAAACTTTGCAAAATGTTTGTAAACATGAAAATAAACATGTTAGAAAAAAAATTTCATAAATTGAATTTCTATTTGTGAAAACCCATGTATTTTGCAAGTGTGTCCAAAGCATGAAAACTCAAAACCATGCATGTATATATATAACTATATATATACATAGAAACCAAATACGTGTGTGTATATGATATTAAGCTTAAGGTACTTAACACACATAATATAAAATCTAAACTAGATTACCCAAGCTTGATCTTGATCTTCATTGTAGCGCAACTTGGTACACATACGGATGAAGCTTGCACTTGATCTTTAACTTTGAATTGCAAGGCTTCACTCCACTATTCCGCCAACCTCCATTGGATATGATCGTTGAAGCTCTATTCCATCCATCCTCCAACTACGTTGTTTGTCTACAATATATAGGAAAACGCAGATACTAGACAAACAACATTAGTGGTAAATTGTTTGTTAAACATCATCAAAACAAGAAGACCAACAGTTAGTTTCTCACAATTTATTTTGTGCGAACCAAAGCGAAACAATCTATTTCTTGGAAAAGTTTGGAAAACTTAAAACTTGTGTTTTTGTACATAGAAATGCATTTCCCTATATCTAGGAAACGAACCAAACAGACAATAATATTCCTATTGGATGTATGTCTCTTTGGTTTTTGTAGTTCTTTTACAGTGTGTTTGGGAGATGACTTAGGGAAGGGAAGGAAAGGGGAAATTTTCCCCTTCCTTCCTTTCCCTTTCATTACACCCCAATTTGAGGTATAAGATTTTGGCTCAAATTCCCTTCTCATTCCTCTCTTATACCCTCTTAAATGAAACTCCCAAACAAGATTAAAATTAAAATTCTCTTCCACTCCCCCTCTCTACCCTCCATCCAAACAGGCCATTAGGTTGCGTTTGGATTAAAATTATTAAGTTCAAATTCCAGATTTCAATTCTATCATTTGATATTTGTAATTTCAAATCTAATTCCATTATTCAGGAAACATTTGTAATTTCAAATCCTATATTTTTCTTGAAGTTGTTGATTGAAAATGACATTTTTTAGTAAAAAGAGCAAAATAATGGGCTAATCCCGCCGTCGTTGATCCTAATCAATCTCATCAAGACCATTAAAAAGTCATACAAAATTTAGTTGGAAAGCTCATTCATCCTCAAACATAAGGTGCCTCTCAACTGCATCGACATCAAATATCCTCAACGCCAGTGTCAACAATGGTGGTGGCGTCATCGTCGACGGTCTCCTCATACCCCATGTTAGTATCGCTTGTTGTCAAATGCCACCATGGCGGAGGGGGATTACTTTAAGGCTCATTGAAGCAATCAGCAACTGAAAGATAGTGGGAGTGACTGGATTTAGGGTTAGAATTTCATCAACG